TGTAATGCCCATATTGATGCATGCTTAAAGTTTGCTGACAATATCCTATCCGATTGCACCCATCATCTACACACTGACTTGTGTGCATGCAAATCCCACCCCTCCACCCGTTCCAAGTACAAACTTATCCCGTCTCGCATATCCTCATACAGAAACTCTTTGGTACCCTATCTTGCTCGGATACTGACCGACAAGGAAAGTGTTCGCTCTGAGCTTTCTAATGCATTTGGTAATTAACTCATACCNNNCACATCCTACTTTTTCCCGTTTTTACCAGAATCGTAACGGTGGTCTATTTTTGGCTGAAAGCTTGTATATATAACTCGCTAAAGCTTGAATACAATACAATACAATCAAGGTGGATTTGGAATTACTGGGTCTTCAATCCGCATATGAAGTTCGCAACTGGAACCAGAACTGGGTTTCTCGTCATGCATGGGCCGCCATCATTAGAGACATCCAGGAAGCCGACTTATCCTGCCGCAGGAGTTAGTCGATAAAAAAACAATGAATGCATTGAGATATAGTCAGCATTTATTGATAGTCATACCTAAACATTAAGTTCCTAATGAGGTGATGTTTGTAAAACTCAGGTGTTTCTGAGCAGAAGTGAACAGGTTTCGACAACAGGTTGTATTGCTTCCGTGTTTTCGACAGATACAATTCTTGTGACCGAAGTGGACGCTTTCCGTCAACCCCCAAACAAGCAATTATCAAAACTGTGACGAGACTGGCGATAGCATGAAACACTCATTCTACTCGTTAGTGCAGAAATCCAAGTATAGCATGTAGAAAAGCAAAATATATTATTGTGAAAAGTCAGCATACAGACTATCGAAAATGGCGTGGTCATAAAAAGTGAAATGACTACCAGCTGCGAAGAAAATAACACTACTGATAATTGCACAGAATTAGGAAGCAAATCCGATCGTTTTAAGTGCGGCGGCCAGAGCAATTCCACTAATCATGCCCAGGGCCAATCCTTCTACTGGCCGACAGGGGCACACAGTACTAAGCAGTGCACCCGCAGTAGCGCCGCTGACGCTGAATCGATCCACACGAACCTGCACGGCATGGAACGGAAAAGGTGAACGAGTAGCGATGATAGCGGATGGGGAGAACGCGAGCATGACAAAGAATATGCATAATTATTGCAGGGCAGGACGTCTGCCAACTTATCTAAAAATCACCGCCCTTCACACTGGCCTATATCGTTCACTCGGTGGTATTGAATGCAAAACTATGAAACCCTTGTTCAAAGACCACAAGAATGCATTTGGTTGTCTCGGTAGAGCAGCCCTACTGAACCATTTGGTCGAATCACGTTGCCCATTCATTCTGCTCATGTATGACCTGACTGAGTGCAGTTCGCCTAAAATGAGGTTCGAACACCGCCACCAAACCACCCTATCTTCCCATTATCTGTTCCTTCCCAGGTAGCCTTTGTACAGTTCCAAACACCTTCGTGAAAGTGGATTGTATATTTCCCATCACGACGAGACTGCACCGATATGATGGCTTGCGTGCCTCCATGACCCTGCGAGCTACACAGGATGGCTTTTCACAGCCG